TAGTGTTGGATTTTAGTGAACTTCTGTATACCATTATCAAATTTGTAGGCCTTTAATTTTCATTTTTTCACTTTCAAAATAAGTTGTCGATTATAGATCTTATATAGGGTGATTCTCTAATCTAGAGGGTGATCCATCTAATCTTCCTTCATAATTAGGATATGCTAGGCAGGAAACCACACACACACAAAAAAAGTGCTACTCTCTGCATTGTATCACATCAGGAGACACATGATATCCATGATGTCTACCTGTCCCACCACAGGTGATGTTAACCTTCATCACCTGCCATAAAGTCACCCCGTCTGCTATAAAGTTACCATTTTCCCTTTGCAATTGGTTAGTATTTTTGAGAAGAATTTCCAAGATTAGGCTTCCTCTTATTCACTAACTGTAATTTAGTAGCTTTAGTCTCCACTGGTGACACTTGCCTTTATCAACCACTACTATGATGGTTGCCAAATCTTTTCATCATTCCTTCCACATTTATTAAAACATTCTACAGTAAGAAAATTTTCTCTTGTTCCCATTTATACATTTATTTGTTTATTAATGACAGTATGGATTCCTGGGTTCCCATTTTGTTCAGTTGGTTTTAATCCAATACATGTATTTGTTTTGATGGTCAAATTGATCTAGATTTGGCCAGTAGAAGCCCCTGCAAGTTGGTTCCTTTGTCTTTTTTTGACATGTCCCCATCATTCTTTGATGATTTCCTTACTTTCTGGGACAGCAAGATTTCCATACTCATCTTGTACTTTTTCTGCCTCAGCCCTGGAATCAGCCATTTCCTCTAAAGTGCTCTTAATGATAATATTTAGAAACCAAGATTACCACTTAGTATGACTTCTTAGCAGACATATTAGAAAATATCTCTATACACATACACACATCTATAACTGTTTCTGTATTTATCATTATATTAAAATAAATGAATTCATACTGATACTTTCAATTCCAAAGTGATACTTCAGAGTTCTTTTTAGCCTTGACTTTTGTCTGTAGTGAGACCTTTGACAGTATCTTTTCCAGTAGTGAGAAATCTGGGTCTCATCCTTAATTTACTCATTTGTTCAATGTAACAAAGCTCTCTTCCACACCACCTCCCCACCCTCCTTTCCCCCAACACCACTATGCAGTAGATCTGTTGCAGACTTCTTTGCTAGGAAGGGAAGGTAGGCAGGGAAAGGCTATTCTAGTCGTAAAGTTAATCTGATTCAGTTAATGTATTTCATTTAAACATACAAGCCTTGAACACTGATGCTTTTCTAGGGACAAGTTTGGAATCCCTAACTCTTAAGTCATTTTATAACTGGTGTTCAGACTGGTTCTGTATAGCCAATGGATGAAATACGTCAAGAAAGTGTAGTTAAGATGGTATGACGACTATCTTGGCCCAGTCCTCAGCTTGGGAGGTGTGAGAGCTCAGTTTTATTATTAGTATCCTTGTAGGTCAGTCTGGTTCTAAGAGAGTAATTACTTTGAAGTAATTAAACTCATAAAGTATTAGACTAATAAACCAAAATACATGTTTACTATTTTATGTGGAGACCGTAAATTGCCAGCTACACTAAAATACTTTTGTTGACTTGATAACATATTCTCTTCCTAACTGGAAAGTGTACTTAGAACATTGCAGGTCAGATGTTTCCTTGGGTAATGCAGAATTGAAATGTAATTAGTTTTATATAATTTTATAAGCCAGGCATCCAGTGCCCCTCTAGGAATATTCCTGCCAATCAGTAAAGAATTTCCATATATGTGGGTCATTGTCTTCCCATTCTCTTTCCCCAAACATAGTAATAGTGATGTTCTATCTTGGTTTTCTGTTTTTCCCAACTTTTATTTTGAAAATTTTCAAAATTGCAGAAAAGTTGAAAAAATAAGATGACTATACATATATCTTTTGCCTAGGTTAACCAGTTATTAATGTTTTGTCACATTTGCTTTATCTCTGTTTGTATATGTAAATGCATGCATACACACACACACACACACACACACACTTAAAAATAAGTTGTAGACATATGACATTTCACTCCCAAATAATTTATTATGTAGCTCCTAAGAAAAGGGCATTTTTCTGGCATCACACCTAAGAAATTT